AGACCTGTTATATTAAGGTTTCTACAACCAGTTCAGTGTGCAAGTGGGCCCCCACAAGTCTCTCACATACTCTAACAGCACACTGTTTACACTCCACTGCAGAATCTTTAAAACTTCATTTCAAGTTTTACAACAGTAGCCATCATTCAGGTCTCTATACCCTTTCTGTGCTCAGGAGTTAGGCTAGCCAAGTCCTTGGGACATTCACAAGGGCACCTCTTTGGTTTCACATCCCACTCAGAAGCAGGCAGTGTGTTTGCAGCCAACATGTAACTTTTGAGAGGCTGTGGTACTAATATTTTGCAACCCCACCTCTAGTCAAAGTTAGAGCTTTCCTAAGCCCATTTTCCCTTAGTTACTTCCCTTCATTTGCCTTCTTCCCCAAACCAAGACAAGTTAGGCTCCAAGTTGCTATAGCAGACATCCTTAAGACAACCTTACCCTGCTCAGCTAAGAGGGAATTAAATTCAAACACATCAAGAGAGACTACTAACCCCTACACATCCTTCAGTCCTGGTTGCTGCTATGTTGTTTTTTTCCTGACACACTGATTGCTTTCAGGAATCACGCTGCAGATCCATACTGCTGAGCACTGCAACATAGTGAAATAATTCATTAAATACCCTTTTATCTAAAGCAGAATGATTTGAAGTGCAAGTATGGTAACTTCACTGATTCCTGGCACTGAGATTTTACAGAAAAGGATGGGTTACTTTGAGTGAGAACTCAGTTTGGTGAAGGAAAGAGAAAAATTTTTATGATGCAATCTTCTGCAGTAACAACTGGTGCCTTCAAGCATCTGCAAAAGAAAGACAGATATAGCATAAATCTACATGTTAGCTCTTGCACAGCTAATCTAAATGACAGCAGAGGAGAGGGGCAGTCCTGAGACTCAACTCTCATCTCGAATATTTGCTATTTGCTTAAGAATCTAAGCAGATCAAAGCATATAAACACATACTATCTATTTAGTCTGAAAGGGTCTTTAGGAGGTACCCCCACAAGAACATTCCTAGCACAGCTGCAAACTTAAAGCAGCCCATACTACAAAAAAGGGAGCAGAAGAGATCAGGTCACTGCCTGAGCCTTTGACAACGGTGTAGTTATTCTACTGAGGGCCCCCTGAGGAAACAAGCAGAAAGGACAGACAAGGACAAAAATACTCACCAGGGTCCCAGGCTACCCTGGGGTAAATTCCTTTCTGAATTTAAGTCTGGTGAATGGCTTAACCCTGCATATCTGAAAGCAGGGCAGGCAGGGGGACTTAATGCTATTAGCCAGACCATCGCCTCCCAGCTTTAGCTGCGGCCAGTCTCCAGCACTTTGAAAGAAATTAACTAAAATCCCTAGATACCAGTTTATATGTCAAGGGGCAAACAAATTCCTTCCCATTTTCAAATTTTACAAACAACTAACAAGCTCTGAATTACCTCTGGTACAAAGTGAATATAGTTACAGAAGGAGAATTAAACATCAGGTTTGCTGACTTAACTAACAGAATAATTGCAAACTCATCTGGCAATCATAGCCAGAGAAATTCAAATCACCCTCAGCAAAACATCATCACAGAGACCTTGGAATCTTACAAGGACCAGCTTGCCTCTTTCCAATAGCCACACCAAATCCAATCACAAGTTATTTTGGCTTGAATGTCCAGAAACTAGCATGCAAAGTCTTATTTCTTTACATTCAGTAAGAGGTATTTTGATAATGGAAATTTTACATGCAACCACAAGGCCATTTGTTTACTTCCACTGTAAAGATTACTCCTTGCTTCTGTGCAAGAGACTGTTTGTAAAAAAAAAAAAAAGGTGTAATGATTGAGGGGCAGGTTCCTTTCTAAGCTAATTTCTATATCCATTTCTATTTTAGGTCTTTATTGTTGGTAAACAAAGCATTAGCTTTAAGACATCAAAAAAAAGCTCAGCTAAAAGCTTAGCCATACATTCATCTCAGCATGATTTCTGTTGGTCTGGGGCTTGGTTTCAGTAGAAGCCTTAGGGCTAAACTACAGGCCTGAGAATATCTAAAAGTCAAATACAGATTTTTGCCTGATTTATTTGCATCCACAGAAAAGAAGCATAATCTTGCAAAAGCAGTATTATAAGGTATGTGGCTTTTCCTGCCACTTCAGAGGTTCCTGGACTCAAAGTTACAATCCAGTGTAGTCCATTTCTTTGTTAAATCTTTCCTCAACACGAAATTAATGCCTTCTCCTTATCCACACCCTTCTTTCTATCCATTCTGTTACCTGGACTCGCTGACAAACATATTCACTCCACAGTAAAATGACTGAGTTACTAATTTATGGCTCCTGATGAGAGACATTAAAACCCAAAGTAATAAACAAAGTATGAGAAATAACCACTGTTGTAAACAGTTACCACAAGACAGCAGCTAAGGGACAATGAAATACTAAAGAACACTGCTGACCTGACAGTTCAAGGTCCATGAAACAATTGGTATATCATTATGGAAGAGCAGGCAATGAAAAGTCTAGCAATTATCTCACAGCTGAAGCTATCCATAAACACTCACATTTTAAAGTACCCATCCATAGCTGGCAAGGCTTCTCTTTACACCTTCCTCCATTCTTTGATTTCCATATCATTTGCTGAGTATTCGTGTAGGTAAGTACACTGAAATATAAATTCACCTAGAATTATACTCCACCTGCAGAGACAAACCTGTAACCTACCTTTTTCCACTGACCTCTCCCATTTTTGCCCATATATCTATGGAAGCAAATATCTATCATAGCAAATACTAAATATCTGTCTGTACAGGGAAAGACTAAACTTGACACACACCCACTGATGCAGACACCCCAAAGCCACCTCAACAACTTTACAGGGAGCTTCCTGGCTTAGGGAAACCTCTAGAAGGTCAGACCAGGAGACCACTCACCCTGAATGACACAGGAACAGATCGTTCTGTTGCAAATCTCAAATGCTTTCGTTTCCATCTAGAGCACCTATATAAGGCAAGAACTGCCTACACAAGCAGCACTGATTGCCTAGGCCCACTAAAATAACTACATTGCTACAACTCCAGCAGAGTGGAAAATGGCTGCTTTATAGTCTGGGAGCATCCGAATTACGGGGGTGGCAGCACTTAGCCAGGGAGGAGTCTCCCACTTCTGTCAGAGGAAGGCTTTTTAATGCTTCATTGAAGGCTCTTGCAGAACTGGTGTGTAGGAGCAGCTGCTCGTACAAGAGTCAGTAATGCAAAAAATCAGAGCAATATCTGAAGGCAGGATTAGAATTTTTACATGGCTTTGCTAGGGCCTGACTTCTTCAAAGGGAGCAAGCTGTAAGAGAAATTTGAAATAAGCTGTTGTTTAGTCTAGAAAAGGCTGCAAAACATGTGATAAGAGTTTGTAACTCAAAAGACCTGCTAGAAAGAGCTTCCTTTTATCAAATTACTGCAGAAGGGTCTAATAACAGTGGTTTGCATTGCTAGAAAGGTGGTGCAGGTTGGCTGTGAGGGAAGAGCTCCCAGCAGTAACTCAAGCCCTGAGCTAAGTCTCTCAGGGAGGAGGCAGGCTCTCTTTTTTCCTAGACACGTTTCACCAAAGGCAGTCCAGGGTGGTTTAAGCTCAGCAGATCCTGCCCTGGGGACAGAGTTAGACTCTAAGCTCCTATTTTTTTCTTGATGGAAAAAATTATCTTACATCCTAAAGGCAGCAGAATATTGTGGCTAGCGTCAAGTATCAGAGCACATGTATCACACAACTAAAAATAATTTTACAGGCTCATTTTTGTCAATGTCCCTCCATCCGTGCTAGATACTATGTTTAGATATTGCAGTAAAAGATACTTCTACCACTCCCACAGTGGTGATCCACATGAAACAACATTCAGCACAGATTAGCTCTTGAATTTCTCCAGGGAAACTTCACTGATATGCTAAAAACAAGACAAATATGCAAAGGCTTGTTGCAGGAATGTATCTCAATCTGTCTTTGGGCTCTTGGTGATACTTATCCATCCCTAGAAAAAATTAATGTAGCAGACACTACAATGATATTGCAGAGTCACTTCCTTTGCAAAGGATTTCCAAACTTTGGATTAGATCATTGCAAAGATGTGAAAATCCCCTGAAAGTGGATCAACTGTGTAATGAATGGCAATGCTTTATTGCATGAAGCTGTAGGAACCGAAGTGAAGAGATGATCCAGTGGCAGAAGGACCAGGGCTGTGGCCAAAAGCTGCAGCTTTGTGATTCTCCCAGCAAGCTAGGGAGATGCCCCATGTCTCCTTAAACTGCCTCCTCCCTGCTTTGGAGTCTGACACAACATTAACTTCCAGCCTCACTGTCCAAGGGAGCAGGAGGACACGGAGGGAAGCCCATTCCCTGGGGAGTCATGCCAAGCAGATCCAGCTATTGAAGGAGCAGGAGGAAGGTCCTTCACTGGAGTGCAGTGCCACGGCTGCGGCAGCACAGGCCGGTGTGCTTGGGCAGCACCACTCGCAAGCTGAGGGACGTCTTTGCATTTCTCCTTTGGAAATCTAACTTTGGTTCCTTAGTCCTACGCAAGTTCTGCATACAAGGTAGGGGGCTGCATACAGGGGCAGCAGGTTGGATGTGTGGATATATCCATGCTCTGCAGGCTATGCTGGTAGGCCTCTCTGGAGCGTATGTAAAACGCGTGTATGTGCTTGGTAACCTTTATTAACTTATAAAGCAAAGCAGTGCGGAGGTTTCCTGAGATGCTCAGGATGGGGATGCTGATTCTTTACGGGCACGCTCCTGGTGCGGCCGAGGGGCGCAGGCCGGGCAGGAACCGCCGGCTCTGTGGGTGAGACGCCGCAGGCTGCGGATCGCCTTCTCCACTGGCGCTGCCCTTGCCCCGGCCGCCCCGGGCGGGCACTGCCCCTGCCCGCTGCCAAGATGGCGCCCGCGGCTTCCCCGCCCCTCAGCGGCGGCCCGGGGCGTGTGCGGGAGCGCGGGCGGGGCGGGCGATGTGGCGACGCTCGGCCCCTCCTGCCCGGCCGCCACTCGCCGCGGCCCGGGTAGGCTGCGGGAGAGGCCGCGGCAGCGCGGCGGGAGCTGAGGGAGGCCGGGGTGCGGTAGGTGGCGGCGCGGGGCGGCCGGTCCCGGCCGGGAGCGGGCGGCGGCGCAGCGCGGGGCTCCTCCCGCGCCCTGCGGCTCTGCCTGGCAGCCGCTGGCCTGTGGGGCCCGCCGGGGTCCGGAGCGGCCGCGGAGCCCGGGGCAGAAGGGCGGTGGCGGTAGCTGTGGCTGTCACTGCCGGGCCGGGAGCGGCCGTACCCGGGGCTCCGGCGGCGCCGCTTGGCTGCCCTGCGGCTTCCCCCCTGCCAAAGCGAGCAAGCGCCACGAACACTGAACGGCAGAGCTCTCCGTCAGCGGTAATAGTGACAGAGAGCAAAGCGGTGCGACTGCCGCCGCCCCAGTCCCCAGGTTGTCTGTGGGCTTTAAGTGCGGATTTGTTTTCCTCCCTCCACCAAAGGCCTGAAGGGTGTGTTTTCACTTTCAGAGATTAAAACCGAAGCGGCGCTGGCGAAGAACGGACATGCTTGACACTTGTCTGCAGTTGCTTGTGTTGCGCCTCGTTGTTTACTCGAAAAGGAGAGACTGAAACTATTACTTGGCTTCTTCTCGGGTTATGTTATAACTAATAATAAAGCAAAACTGTGGAAAAAGCACCTGGGAACTGAGCATGGTAGGATCTTGAAGGGAAAAGTAGCTGGGATCGACGGGAAGAGGAAGGGGAGGAATGGCATCCCGAGAGAGACTGTATGAGCTTTGGATGCTTTACTGCAATAAGGTAAATATTTGTGTTTGTTTGCTTTTATCCTCTCTTGTTTGGTAGTCAGGTATTTAAACTGTAACATCTTTTTTCTTGGAAATTGCATAGACGTGATTAGCCTCTGAAAGGATGTAATTGCACTTCTTAGACTGTTTACAGCCTCATCCCATGGTTTGCTGTTCAAGTTGGTCTTTTTATGTTTGAGAATTGCAGTGTTCCTGGGTCAGTTTAAGCAGTTATTGTAGCTATGTATTTTAAGTATGTGAATGTACACGTTTACATAATTCTTCATTTTTTAGCAATTAAACTGTGCTGTATTAATTTAATTAAGTACTGCCTAGTATTCAGCTTTTTACTTACTGATTTCTGAACAGCTTCAATTTTATTTAACCTTTTTTAGCAAAATCCTTCCCAAAGAACAGATTTGTTAAGTTGCTCCAGAGTCTGCCTTTGCTGGCTATTGCCATAATATCTACATATTCCATTAGTAATGAATTTCCTTCACCTGGCAGAAATAATACAAAAATGCTGTCCTGCTTCCATTTGCGTTTTATAGTGTAAAGCAATTAATGTGTTTAAAGCACATATCCTGATTGCTGCCGGGTGTGCCGAGTATGTAGAAAAATTGGATTGCAGATTATCGGAATAGGTGGGTCTAAAATAAGTAGCATACAGAAAACAGCTGTAAAGGTGGAGGAAAGGACTGATCTACTGTCATACAGGAGCTCAGTGGCAAGGGTAGCTTTTGATGGCCTTATTCTCTGGGTTGTTTTGCGTTTTTGCAGTCTCATGCTTCGTTTGTATTTCGGTTTCTTTAAGTCTCCAATCCAGCAGGACATAAGGGTAGAACAGTCCTTCGCTTGTTCCTCCCACCTCATTTCTAGAGAATGTGAGATGTTAAGTACAGACCATTTAACACAAGTGCACAAAGTACTTGTCTTAATTGCACTGTTTCCTAATTTTTGTACCGCCTTAATCCTCTACACGCTGTTAAACCTAGTGCGAGCACAACGGCGTGGTCCCAGTTCTTACTGCTCCCCGTGTGGGTGAGCTGCTGGCTTGGACCTTTGCCTTTTAAACCAGTGTAGTAATGATAATGGCAGTAGGAAGTGGAGTAGCACTGGAGAAGATGGATGTTTTGCCCGTGAGTTCATCGATGTGAGAGGAACAAATGCACTTGGAATACATTCAGAGAATCCAGACTTGACTCAGCTTTGGGAGACGCTAAGGCAGCAGAAATGAGCCAAGTTCTGAATTTCTTTGATTGGCTGTTCTTTGGCTCTTTCCTCCCTTGTTGTTTAAAATATTCTTCTGTCTGTCTTGGACCTACTCCCCCTTTGCTGGAATCTTTCATTCAGATTGTATGCTATCTGTCTCTATGTTGTTCATAGCAGGAAGTTTGCATGAAGGAGTGCTATTTAAAATGTGTAGTTTAGATCACTTAGGGGATGTTCAGTTACTTGAGGGGAATGATATGCCCACAGTCTACTCAGCTCTCAGGTGGTAGAGGATGAGCTGTTTGAAATAAATAATCTTTTCATATGTTCAGTCTCCTCATTAGCTATCAGTGATTTTTTTTGGCCTTTTTTTCTTTCAGACCCATATATTAAGGGCATAATTAAATGAATTTGTTTGTTGATAACGGCTTGTTCCTAAGTAACAAAACATGTATTTTAAAAATAAAATGGAGTGTCTTTGACATATGAGGGCAATTGGAGTGATCCAAAAAAAGGGAGTCTTCACTTTTTCAAGAAGTGTTAATCACAAAACAGTTTTCTTCCATATCTCTCAACTGGTTCAGGTTAAAATGATATCTTATTCTGCTTCAGGCATGCATCCAGAATGACAGTATTAAGCTTGGTGAAGTTAAAAGCAGATGAAGAAGTTATGTCTCCATCTTGGGATGTAAAATGTGGGAGGCCTTAAAGTAAATTAGTTTATTCAGCCCACTTGGAAACATCTGTATATTGTGCTTTGTTCTTCTCAGTGCATCTAGCAGAATGGGAAGGTGTAGCAATAATTACCAGTGATAGGATATAGTGGTTTAGAGAGAAGTTGGTTATAGCTGGGAGTGAAGTGTTTATACCTGCCCAGTGAAGTGCAGTATGTTGCACTGCAGTGACTGTCCCTGGATGACACCCTGGGAAATAAAGCTAGGCAAATTCTTCAAACTAGAAAATGGCTGGAGAGTGACAGTTGAGTAAGGCACAATAAATTCCTATTTATTGTGCCACAAATCCCATATACATGGCTTTAGCTTTTGCAGCCTTGTTAGCTACAGAAACAGTGAAATCCAAGCTACTCCTTTGTGATGCTTCCAACTGTTGCTAATGGTCTTGTCTTTTGATAATCGGGTCCTTCGTGATAATCTTTTAAATACAGCACCCTCTGCTAAAGCAGCAAGGCTTTTCACAGCTTTCAAGTGCTACATAATGCTGTGTTACCATCTTACCATCTATCCTGGGTCGTGACTTTTGTTCTTTGTGATCCCTTGACATCTCTGGCAGCATCAGGTGTCATTGCAACGCTTAATTTTGTGCAAAGTAACACTAGGAAGGCATTTCTCCATTTTCATTGCCTCTTGAGCGGTTGAGGCATTGGAGATACGGGCAGATAGCAGCATTAAGCAGGGCCTTTACAGGAGCAGTCTTTGGAAGACACCATGTATGAGGTGGTTTAATTTTTCTGGGGTTTTTTTGTTATTGTGGTGGGATTTTTTTGCTTGTTTGTGGTTTTTAAAAATATTTTAATTTTTTTTTAAAGATAATATTTGGGTGTCTGCAAGAGTTTGGTTTTAGTTGGTATTCAGTTGTTTTCATTTCGCAGTTTCTAATCCAAGGGTGGGATTTGGTTTTGGATTTTTTTTCTCCTTCTGTTTCCCTAAAAGCTACAGATTGCAGTTGGCTGTTACAGATTAAAGTAGTAGCCACATTTGATTTACAATGCTTCTGATGTTGCATGGAAGCAATTTAAAATTTCTTTAGATTTAGTAAAATTTAGATTTGAGTCACTGGGGTTGTTACCATGTTGTATTATTCACAGCCTAAATCTGGTTTTATCTTGAGTATTTTGTTGGTTTTGGTTTTTTTCTTTTTTTTCAATTTGTTAAAGTTTCTGTATAGAGTGCCTTGTTAAGGATGTAACTTCCTGATGATTTTCAGTTTGAAATGATTTTAGTGGTTGGGGGATGTTTTTCTGTTCAGTGAACTGTTAATGTACAACACCTTTACTCAAATATTGATATGAATGTGAACTGCTGTCTTGTCATCCAAATGTTTGAATGAGCATTTTAAGATAATTGAATTGTGTAAAATAGATAGCAACATTTTTTTTCCAGTTGACTGATAGTTAAAAGCCTTCAATAACCTACAGAGGAGCATGGAACACTCCTTATATAAGTGCACATAGAGCAGATAGCTGGAAATGCTTTACTAATGTAAGTGTACAGCAGGAGTAGAGCTCCATGAGGTAGAAGAAAAAGACATGCTTTCATGTGTGTCTGACTTCTTTGGGTTTGTGACAGAGCTAATCTACCAGTTTTGTCTTGTAACATTAGACTGTCATGGCTGCGATATTACTATGGTAATATTGCTATTACTATTGTGATATTGGTTGACTAACCTTTTATTAGATATCAATTTTATATCAATATAGAAAATTTATTTCTCTTTCATTATCCTCTGAAGTAGCTTTTGCTGTAGATTCAAATTAAAGAGATTCAACCTTTGTCCTATCTATAAGATTTTAAGTATATGTAGTTCACCTCCAGTTGTTCTGTTAGGTATTTCAGACTCTTAGACATAAAGCATGTCAGGATTTCTGGTATTTTGGATTTTATTCAGAAGGTGTTCAGATAGCCTTTTATATGGAGATTTTTTTCTAATCTGTGAAAATAAGAGATCCTAGCTGCCTTCAAAAGGGATTTCAAAGGCATTAATGCAAGCACTTAACTGCAACATTCACATCAGCTTTCATGATACTACAATGGTTTCTGAGCTTTTTCTTACACTCTTGTCTTGAATATAGCCCTGATTTCATTTAAACACTGTCTTTTCCTGTGAGGTGACAATGATTTCAAGGGAAAGCTGTGAATGTTCTTCACTCAGTTTGGAGCCTGTGCTTCTCATTTCAAGAAGGAATGTTCAGCCTTGGTGTCATTGATACAGTCAGGGCTGTGTGTTAGCTGATCATAATGATCTGGTCTTTACTAATGCAGAGAGCTGAGGCAGTCACATCCCTTGCTTGTTAAGAGCAGCAGACCTGTGCATAAGCTGTTATCTCAAATGTGCTTCCTTACCTTGTGCTGCACCTCTCATTTGTTTTTACAAACTGATTGTATTGAAATAATACAACTACAATTGTAGTTTTCTCTCTGGCACAGTGAGGGATATCTTTGTATTATAAATATCTTCTCATTTGATATTGTAACATTGTTTCTCAAATAAATGTGCCTTTAGCCAAATTGTGCTTTGCTGTGGTGAGAAGCATGTAATTCAACAAGAATAATCATTGACATGGAATTGTAAGCCCCGTGTGAAACACTGGCCGTGGCATCCCCAACATGATCTCATCCTGGCTTGGCTTGCCCCTGCCTTCCTTCTTGTGCAGTTGCTGACTTGTCAGTGATGCAGATCACATTGCTATATGTTGCCTTTGTTAGAATTTGATAAAGAATTATTCAGCTTACACTTAGATGAATTTGAGCAAACCAAGTGCTCAGTAAAAGTAGTTTTTAGTAATTCACTGTCATGTAAATTCATGCCTCTGCTGAAACAGTGAAGTCTTCGAAGGAGTTGCTGTGTAAGATATCTTTTCTGCAGATTGTTTTAAGTAAATTTTTTCGTTCCTAGGGACTGTAACTTGTAGAAGAACATGTCACTTGTGGCCATGTGGTGACAAAAATATCTTTGTTCTGTCTCTATTCAAGAGGCTGAACTAAGAATGGATACAGATAACAGTTGGTCTTCTGAATTAACAGTTGGTCTAATTCTGAATTAACTGCTATTTAAAGAGCTGTC